CCGGTGTGTGTTCTCTTAAATGGTAATAACTTTTTCATTTTTCAATGAAATTTGGCAAGTATGGTTTTATTTTTCTTACAATGGCATGAACTTTGTAAATCTTACATGATAAATTGTAAGAGATCTGAAATTTACAAAGGGAGAATCCATCACCAGGCTATATTCAGTCAGTCGTACCAGGGTGTGTTCTCTTAAATGGTCATAACTTTTTCATATTTCAATGAAATTTGGCAAGTTTGGTTTTATTTTCTTGCAATGGCATGAACTTTGTAAATCTTACATGATAAATTGTAGGAGAACTAAAATTCACACATTCACAATCCATCACCAGGCTATATTCAGTCAGTCATACCAGGGTAAACTCTTTAATGGTAATAACTTTTTCATTTTTCACTGAAATTTGGCAAGTTTGGTTTTATTTTTCTTACCATGGCATGAACTTTGTAAATCTTACATGATAAATTGTAAGAGAACTGAAATTTATATAGGGAGAATCCATCACCAGGCTATATTCAGTCAGGCATACTCTGGTGTGTTCTCTTAAATGGTCATAACTTTTTTCTCTTTCACTGAAATTTGGCAAGTATGGTTTTATTTTTCTAACAGTGGCAAGAACTTTGTAAATCTTACATGATCAATTGTAAGAGAACTGAAATTTACATAGGGAGAATCCATCACCAGGCTATAATAATGCAGTCAGTCGTACCGGTGTGTTCAGTTTTCTTAAATGGTCAAAACTTTTTCCTTTTTCACTGAAATTTGGCAAGTCTATAATTGGTTTTATATTTCTTGCAATGGCATAAACTATGTAAATCTTACATGATAAATTGTAAAAGATCTGAAATTTACATAGGAGAATCCATAACAAAGCTATATGCAGTCAGTCGTACCGGTGTGTTCAGTTCTCTTAAATGGTCATAACTTTTTCATTTTTGAATGAAATTTGGCAAGTATGGGATTTTTTTTTCTTATAAAAGCATGAACTTTCGAAATCTGAAATCATAATTTTTAAATATTAAAGGACTGAAATTTTCATGGGGAGAATCCATAATTATGTAATGCTCGAAGAGTCATAATGGTGTCAGTTCTCATAAAGGCAGTTTATAGTATATGATATAATAATTTTTTTTAAAGGATAGGGGTGTTAAATTAAAATTAAAAAATATATAATTCAATACCTTAGTACTTGAGAAGCCTTTCTACTACTTATTCAAAGTTGTTTTAAAATCCCTATCACAGGTATAATTAGTTAATGACACCTTAGGGTATTTCACTGTGTATCCATTCATGCAGGTAGACTGCTAGCTCCAAGGCAATCACACCTGTACAAAATTAGCCCCTCCCTCACCTGGAATAAAAATACCACCCGGTAAAAATTCTCTGCCTTTAAATGACCATTTCTTTATTTTCTTTTTTTATTTTTAAGCCAATTAATATTTGGAATATTATTTTTGTTGTTGTTGTTGTTGAAATATTTAAGATAACTTTCTTATCTGCATTATATCAAGTTACATTTATATCCACATATATTACTTGCACTTACAAAAAGAAGACTAATGTTAAAATGTAAAATTTTACATACATGTATATCTTGTTGCAGTGATGTTTATTAATCAAATTAATTAGTTGTCTAAAATATATAATATATTACCTTTACAATATTAAAATATGTAGGAGTTGATGCCTCAGATTTAATTACACCGGGAAAACAAAGACAATCTGCGCATAATGATATAGGAAAAATCAGAGGCATAAAGAAAAACCTTTGTATAGGAGTTGACTCCTCAATTTTTTTTACGACTTGGTTTGTGTACGAGTTGACTCTAAATCATCCGAGATCTCAACTGCACTTTGGCAATCGTAGTAAAATAATACATCATTTGATGAATTGTCGCAACAGAGATGCAAGAACTCGGAAAGAAGAATTTGGTGATTTGATCAGATTTTAGTCAATAATTGATTTAAAGACTAAATTTTAAGGATTAATTCACGTACATTTAAATCAATTTAGTCTCATTCATATTCATTTCTTTGAGATATTGGTTTAACATGCTTGAATTAGTCCATTATCATCTCAACACAAAGTGAAGCAACTAGCAAGTGAGTATATAAATCAGTAAATGGTCAAAGTTATATCAACAGGTACAGATAGTATAGCTGTATATGAGCCTTGGGTAAATTCACCTTTCAACAGACACCAAACAGGCGTAAATAAAAAGAAATACATTTTATTATCAGAAAGAAGTGTTAGGAAGGAGCATGTTACATGTTACATGTGAACAAATAATGAAATATGACTGTATCAAACACAATAACAGAAGTACAAATCTGTGACTTTGACACATTTTTAATTGAAAGACATGTAAAAAGTACTGTCAGAATTATGAAGTTCATATCTTGGATTCATTAATCATGTTAATTAATTATGTTAGCAGCTGTCATTATAATCATAATCATTCAGAGAAGTTAAAGAAATATATTGTAACATAGATAACCTGCGTAGACCTAGATATTCATATGATAGATATAACAAATATCATTTCAATGTGTACAACCACTGCAAAGAAAATGAATGGCAACTGATGGTGGACAGACAAATCATCAGTAGCAAGACAATATGCCTTATTGGGGGGTAAATAACAAAAAATGATAATGAAAAAAAATATATTTTGAGAATACTACATGTATACTGCATGTTACATTCTTCGGCGCTAGAAATAAAACACCACTCTTAACGGTGCTTAAGGTTACTTATTGTGGTTATTTCAGATTTGTTATATATTTAATAGGTTGGTGGGATAATTTCTCCCATCACATACCAAAAATATGGGATAAATCCTATATTGACATCAATTAGTGGGATATTTTGTCCTGTGGGAGAAATAATCCCATTTTTGCAACAACCGTGGGATTTTTTTTCCCATGTGGGAGAAATTATCCCACAGTACTTTTTCTCCCATGGGATTTTGGTGGGATTTTTGGTGGGATGAAAAATCCCGCCATTCTCCCATGGGATTTTAGGTTTTGACAGAGGTTTATGAGAAAACTACTACAATGTGGAAGTTGAGATTGACATGATGAGGTCAGAATAAAAAATCCCACCAAAATATAGAAAAAAATGTAATGTAGGTCTTTTCGAAAGGGTACCTAAAAGTCCGGACTTTGTCGTGTCCGGACTTAAATGTCGCAGTGTTTTAATTCGATATGCAAGAGCATTCTCTTTAAGTACATTATTGATAAACATGATGATAAAACAAGAGTATCAACAGTATCGTTTTAAGTAAACATATCTAAAGTTCTAAGGACCATACAAGGACCGTATCATTGAATACAATATACGAGGGTTGTTAGAAAAATTCGCGGATAAGTTCGATTGTGAGCGCGGTATTTCCGTGACACCGTTTAAACTTTCCAGATAAAAGCTTTACATTTTTCTAATTAAAAAAAAAAAAGATTTGGTGTTTTCCGGTGATGACTAAAAAATATGCAGCTGCATTATTTTGATAAAACATGCTTCACGGAGCAAACTCCTTTTTAAACGTTTATTTTACATAGACTTTCCAATGAAATTAAAAATGGTATAGTTGTAGCGCAGAATTATGAAAGTTTACCCGCCGCTACAGTATTATTGAAACGTGAATATTTGAATTGATTTGGATGGAGTATGTATGTTTTATAGCCATTTATATATAATCAATGCCTAAAATGAAAGCCAAGAGTGGGAACGTCATTGAACTACTAAAATTTATGTGTGTACCCAAGAACATGAAAAAAAAACTAAAATGCTTCTAGATGCTCCTAGACATTGTCTAACGTAAAAAAAGACAATAATAATATTTAATTGGTACAGGCTTCATAAGAATGGAATGATTAACATTTTTGTTATCAACTTTCATGCGATACCTGAATAACCCCACGATCGCTTGGAAGTTGCGTCTCAGGATGTTGCATTGTTTCCAAAACTGATCATGATCGCTCAACTGTGTAGACGTTCATTTTAAGATCTTGCTAATATCCGAACAGCACTTAACCCCTTCCATTGCAAAGATTTTGAGCCTTTCTAGACAAATTGATATTAAGATTTCAATGAATTTTTTTAGTATTTCTTGTTATTTTTGTACATACCAATGTATATATATTCAGAAAGCAGGTATATATATTGTGTCTAAAAATGATTTTAAAAATTCATTTCAGTTGCCATTGCGACGAAATACACCATAATCTTGCTGGAATTTTCATTTAATGAATAATGAGTTTCATTCTAGTTTTTTTTTTTGCTTTGTTAAATATATTAAAAAATATCTTATTGTTCTCTTGAAAATTATGAGCATGTTGTACATTTTTGTACGAACCAATTTTAAATTTTTTGGGGGGATTGGGTACTGTTGGGATGTAGTCCATAAAAATAAATTTGACCTCAAACTAATTGAAACAGAATTTTTCTTATGGTAGTGTTTCTTACAATAGCATAATGTAACTCCATAAAAAATCGGAAAAAAATCTGACGAGTGTTTTCATAGAAGTCGACTTAAAAATTAATGAAATATGACTTTCATTTCATATCTGGTATGCCGCACCATACTAGTCGCTGTTGACGTCATTTTCTATAAAAGTACGTCATAGATAAGACTTATTTTACCAAAAGTTCGAAAAATGATATTTTGATAAGTTTCCTGCATAATAATACAAATAATTAAATAGGGGGAACAGGAAAATTAACCAGGATGTTGTTTTATACTTTTTGACACAACAATTTTCCAACATGAAGAGGCTACAGTTTATTAATCCATCGTAGGCCTATACCTTTTTTAAAATTAGATTTCCATTGAGGAAAAAGTTAAAAATATGCACAGTAGTTTTAATAGTTATTGATTTCATGAATTCCACAAGAGCTACACATATTATAATGAAAATGATCAGTTTAAAATATCTAAGGAAGGCCATTTCAGTCAAAATTTTCTCGCAATGACGTTATATAATTTATATACGCTGTATCACTGATGTCGCTGTCAGAGGGTAAAGTCCAATTAATTATCTTCAGATTAAGCACAAATAGTCAACCGTGGCTTATTTTCAATTTATGAACTGATTTACCACCATCGCTTTTGTTTGTTTTGAACATATTAACAATTTATGTCAAAGGAATTATTGAACACTTGTAGGTCCCACAAACGTCATAGTCCTCAGTATCTCACTCCCCTACCCTATACAATTATTGCTCTTTTTTTAAGGGGAATACCATGCTCTAGACATCTGAGAAGTTCAATATTCACCGACTTCGAAGGGCGGGGTGAATATTGTACTTCGAAGATGGCTAAACCATTGTATCGACTAAAAAACAGCAATAATTGTTTTATTATATGATTCACTTATAAAAATGATACAACTCATTACTTGTTTGCCTTTAATAAAGTATTAGACAAATACAAGAGTGAAGCAGGAAATGTAAATTGTAAATAAACCTTACCAGTCGTATCAATTTGAAATATTTTTTAAATTTATTTTAGTTGCAATGAAACAAGATATATTTCCATTTCTAATTTTTTTTCTCTGTGATAACTCTTTGAAAAGTGTCGGAGTTTATTTCTTGATAATTCTGCCGGAATGTAAATTAGGCAGGTCGATAGGTCAGGAGCTAAAGGGGCCTAATACGCATACAAATCTCGTGCGCATCTGTCTCTGTGTCTGAAGCTAAGGAGGCCAAATATGCATGTAAATCTCGTGCGGCTGCCTATGTGTTTAACGTCTGTGGGCGAGGACTATTGAAATTGGCATGGAAGTCCTCGAGTGATTATAGTCTATGTCTACATTTTTAAAGTCTAAATCTACAATTTTATTTCACAATGAGGCCCGTTATGCTAAAATTATCCCATGTTTCCCACTATTGTTGATGTCCCTGGCATACTCTCAAAAATACACAGTGATTCCTTAAATAATGTTAGTTTTTTTTATATAGAAAAGATTTTGAAAATTTTGAAAGGAAGGAGTATTATTATTGAAAACTAACAGGTTAAAATTTTTGAAAAGTATAAAATAAAAATTTTGTTTACTTAAAGTGTTGGAGGTGATCCCTTTATCCCCTCTAACCACTCTCACTCCAAAATATATATTCGTTTAGGTTTTGTTCAAATGAGAAAATATCATAGCCGTTTAAATATTTTTACGTTACAATTTGTATCAATTTTGAATTTTTAATTTTTTATCAATGTAGAAGAAATTAATCCTTGTATTCACACGGAACGAAACGTGTAGGTTAATATAATGATGATTTCTTCCACATAGTTGAATCTCAGCCAATCAGAAAGATAGCTACTATTCAATCATATAATAAAAAGTGTATTGTCTCGATATTTTGGGGGTTCTAATCCACATTTACCGAAAACAACATGCATGGAAACTGATTTGATAATGGCAAAGGCGCTCTAATAGTGCACAAAGTTTCACTCAAGCTAGCAGAAAAATGATTCAACCAATAAAAATATTATCTGTAAATTATTTTACCGTATTTATTTTCTCTTTCCAACGTGCAAGAGTTATTCTGATATTTCAAGTATTAAAGAAGTTATGAATGTTTTTTTCACGCTATACTTGTTTTTCAGGGCAGATGCGTGGAAATGCGTATATGCCATGTAACGGGTTAAGGCATTATAAAAGAAAAGTAACATGTCTCGATATTGATATTCAATTTTTAAGTAGAAAAAAAAACAAGAAAAGTCAAAGAAATGTAAGATATATAGAACGAATATAGTCTTAACGGGTTTGAAATATGGTTGTCACATCACTAACGTCAAGAGATTGCTCCGTGAAACCTATGACCGCATATTAAAATCGTTTTAAATTTCAAAATTTTAGTAAATGGGTCTGATTTATTTTACATACTAATAAACAAAAGATATGAATTCAATTAGACATAGGTCACACGTCACAGTACACAACAGATTTTCCGTAAATCAATGTGTCTGCGAACTTTTCTAACAACCCTTATATTAAATCATAAAATCAATGACACATAAACTCACCTCTGATGTTTTATTGGTCCGTGTTTGCTCAGCTCTAGAATTTACATTGTTTAATAGAATTTGAATACTGTTCGTTATCTCAACAAATTTCATACAGTTAATTGAATGAAGAAAGTTAATATAACAAACAGAGACCATGATCGGTTAAAAAAAACTAAGCGGCTAGGATAAGGCTATCGGTAAAATAAAGAACTCTTCAAACTGTAGAAACTTCCCTGAACTACAAAGATTTGACGCCATAATAGAATGTGACTTCAATATACTACATACTTAAAAAGAAATGACAGAGAAAGTGTCAAAAATATTTACATTAATTTCACTTAACATGTAGATGTGTGGCATTGTTGTTTAATCTAAGTGTCGGCGTTGTCGTGAGCACCAGTGTGCTCTCATCATGTTGAATATCTAAAATTCACATATCCCTATTTTTTCACTTATCCTTTAAGCACATATTCAAACAAAAGCAAAAAAAAAATAAATTTGAAACGCTCCCCTACACATCCGATAGAAAGTTGACGATAGAAAAGTTAAAATCATCAACTTTATCATGGAGCCTGGTTGTTAAATAACCATTAACATATCCAAATATGAAAAAGATGTGTCACACTCTGTGGTATCTTTTATCTAAAGCTCACCAGGGCATATCGTATTGACATAAGAATAGAAATTACAATTGTTAATTGACAATACTTCGTCGATATATCTAAATGTCGAGTTAAAGGCAACAGCATGCAAGTTTTTTTCCATTTCACGCTGAAGATTTTGCACAAATTCTGCTTCAAATGAACTTATATCACATGTTGACAGAAACTTAAAATAAAGATTGCAGATTAAAAATAAAATTTGCTCAAAAGAAAATGTCTATTTTTAACGCATTTTAACCTTTTGGACAACCCTATAATAACTGCGTACAAAATAAATAAATCTATGAAATGGGCGTAAAACAGGGACTCCTCTCAAGTCAATAAATGGAACGATATACTTTTGACATGTACGCATTCCCTGTTACATGTGATTTAGATAAGCTTTTATGGTTCTTTGATGCTTTGATAATAACCACTGAAAAAATTGCTCATTCAATTGACAATATTAACACCTTTAAATATTACTGGTCGTGCAAAATTGAAAAATGGGAATTGTTAAATTTATAACTTGGAAAATGGAAGATAAAACAAAATTTTTTATAACAGTCTTACTTTAACAATGTTGAATTTGCTGAGTTAATTATCCAAAAAGTTTATAAAGAGGTATTAATGAGAAAACAATAAAAAAAAAACAAACAACTAACAATTAGCATGAAAAACGTCAGTAAGCAATTGACTTAGTGATAAATTGTATTTGCTTACAAGGTCATTGAATCGAACATAGAACTTACGAAATGCTTACTTTAAACATCTTCCTCTTAGAGAAATTCATCTAAAAGTGCATTTGATACTACATTTGTATATAAAACTGCCCTTTTTATTTTAATGTTTGGCACACTACTATAAATACATAGGCCTGCACCAGTAGGACCAGTTCACTCATCCCTTTTAGACACATATACAACATGTTATATTTTGTTTAATATTCATGTGAACTCTGCAAAAATATTGCATTGTTAAGACATATTAATACCTTTGTTGCATCATTTAATTGAGTCACCATATAGTCAGAACTTTTAGCGAAGATTTGATGAATACCCAAGATTTAATTTTGGCATTTTAAGCGAGGTTGCTGAAATCGCTAAATATAAATAACACTGAAGATTAATTACTTTTTTGTTAAAGCTTCTTTAGTAGCTACCCAAGAATTACTAAAATTATCTCTTGCCAAAAAATAAAATGCCAATTTTTTAAGGATATATTGTAAAATTTGTGTCCCGCTAAAATGTCCATCTATACTGTATACAAATTTGGCAATATTTCTTTCCGTTGGAACGTTTGCCACTTTCCATGTTTCATGGCTGTTATAATTTTAACAAATATACCATTTAGGTTCTTTGCCAGCTAGAGAAGACGGTCTTGTTAGTCGAAAGGCCTGTGTTCCGAGTGCTTCTTTCTTTTGCGAAAAGATTTATAATGTATCCATCCAAAACTGTGGGAAATACAACGTTTACTATTTACCAAGACCAACAGCATGTCCAGAGGCTTACTGTTTTGGTAATTCCTAAACTGTGTTGCTTAAAAGGGGGACGACTGTGCTTTTCATTGTGTAGAAAATTGCGCATCATAATAAAACCAAACGCAGGGTTTCAACTGTTTTCACATATCAAAGAAATTTAACAAAGTTGTAAAAAAAAAACTACACAATGAAAAAATAGATTTGTGTTTTAACTGGTTTCTAAACATTTCTACTGATACATGCAGATATATATATTTTATTTATTTATTCATTATTCATAAGATAAGCTCTCAAGGTGACACGACTTGTTTTTAAAGTGCTCTCCTTATCAGGTATTACCTATGCTGTTAATCATAGTAAATAATGGAATCGATTAATCTGAATGATAATACAAGTCTTCTCAAATCTATTTTGAATACTTTTGGATTTTCACACTGAAAATCTAATGCTGCTGATGAAGATTCTTTAAGTGATGTTCCAGATTTTTTAAGAGTAAAATTCAACCAACAGAGCATCACCTTGAACTATGATGAGGATGGGACTGAAGACATTGTGACCACTATAAACAGTGGACTTTTGTTTACCAAAACTGGATTCAAAAACGGGAGTATATATTAATCAGATAATGGCAATGTCACAGTGACACTATACAAATCAACTCAGACAATCCATGTTCAAGGGAGTGAGAGATTCACTTGGCTGCGAGAATTCATTGGACAAATTCCTCAGCTGCCAATAACTGAGGTTAGCAAAATTGAAGGGATGCTATAGCCACAAAATACTTACACCCCTAAACCTTGTAAATTGCAAGATATGGAAATCAGACCTTGTCATAACTGTAACAGCTCTCTAATTATTCAAAATGTGAAAAGTATGTTATTTATCTTTCTGGGGAAGTTGCCAGACTGAAAATGGAGTTGCATTCTCTTCAGAACAAAAACCTCTCAATTAGTAGATGCAACTGCTCAAACAGGGGAACCACCTTCAAAAACCAAATCCGTTGATACGCGCGAAATTAAGGACACTTGTGTACAAGGCGTGTCGAGACATACACTGTGTACCAGATTTGAGACAAGAGAATTCTCAACTTCCACAGAACCTTGGTAGCCCAAAAAGAGCAAAAAACTTTCAACAGACCGGAAAAGAACCATAACCTGGCGACCAATGTTCCATCTGGAAAATCTGTTCTCATAATAGGAAGATCAATCTTACAGCGAATCCGTACCCAGGGATTACTAATAAAATATTGTAGTCTGTACAAACAGAGGGGCACGTCTGTCTGATATTAGACGGATTCTTTAGGGAATTGACCGAACACCATTTCAGTCATTCGTCATCCTTGCCGATGGAAATATTCCTGCCAGCAACAAAGAAATTGATAAGTGAATATGATCTCACCGATCACAATGCACCGAAGTTTACATCTGGGAGATACCGCCACGAAGAGATACAAATGTTTCCCAAATGAATGAAATAATTAAATGTGTTTGTGAGGGATACAGTGTAAATTCTATCTCGCTCCAAAATGTGTTCTGGAAGGATGGGGTCATCAACACTTCTGAAAGCCTATGATTCTTATGTTCGGATCATTAAATCGCGTCGTTTAAATGATACACAAAATAAGCCTGGAAATATGAATGTGTGTTTCTACTGTGGTTAAACTGGTCATTCCTCTCAGAATTATTCGCACGTATTTAAGATTGTCTTTATGAAATGCCACTCCCCGGGTCACAAAGCAAAATACTGTTCATATTAGGAATTTGGCAAAGAAGAAAATGCTGAACAATCAGCCCTCTTAAAATCAAACCCCTTTAGTGTCTTAAACTATCTCCGTGCTGAATGTAGTGAAATATCATGCAAACGTTCTTATATCTGTATTGCACGCAATATCAAAGACCAATCAGTAGCATCAGATATACCTAAAAGTTTTATGTCTCCTTCAAAGTCAGTCAGTAACTGTGATATAAATCCTGTCAAAAAAGTATTTCCTTCGAAACTTAGTACATCCTCCATTACAAAATCACTAAAACAAATTCCTAATTCAATAACTTCTACGCAGCATTGTTTAGGCTTGAAAAAGGGGACGGGGCCTAATTTTTACGGGAAAAGTTTACTTTGACGTCACATAAAAATATGACATTTATGTATTTCTCATAATACCTGAAAATGAATAAATTTGCAACTTTTAACTGTATAAGCATAATAACAATAATAAAACTTATTAATGCATTTTAAAAACTTGCTACTTAAATCCGATGTAGCTGGTTATAAACAAGGCACTGATCGCGATTAACTTGTAAACATGACGTCATTTTGGTAAAAATGACGTATTTCATGTGCTGTGAGAGGCAGATTGAGGACTTTTTTAACAATGAAAAATGCGTTTTATCATTAAACGGAATATTACTTACAGGTTTTAAATAGTCCATTAATACCAATGTATATCCATTATTTAGTGCAATTTATCATTAACTATCAAGAGACTGTATTTCATTAATGATGTCGTGTTTTTATGTACAGGGTATGTATATTTCACAATGAGATGCCTCATAAAATCGTACTTTCGCAAGTGCGTACACTTAATAAATCTTAACCATTTTTTGAATATAGATTAAGGATATTTTTCTTAACTTGAAAAGTGCTGCTGCTTTCTTTAAATCGAGGGCGTGATTTTATAAGTACACAAAATATTTGGTAAAAGTCAAACATATTTCGACATTGGCTTATTTACCTAAATTTTTAACTATTAAAACGCAAATTCTATTTAAAGCAGCACTCTTCAGAAACTACAAAGTATGGAGAAACAATTTATAGCTTGAATTTTTAATTTCAAGGTATGCCCTTGCGATATTGAAATTTGTTCATGACCTACATTCAGCACATGAACTATGCATTCATCACGTGACTGTCCATAGATGGGACCAAACTTCATACAGTACAGAGTGGGTTATGTTATATTCATAAGTATTTAGGTTCTGTGATAATAAAACAGCATAATTAGAATTAATTCAGTTTTTTTTTTAAATCCTCCTTTTAGCACGTTTATTTTCCGTTGATTTCTCATAGTAGGCCTTAACAGTGCTGCGTACAAATAATTGTCATTCACAAAAGGACCCTTCAAATGAATATGTAAACAATTTCGGAATTGTCAAGAAAGGTCTTAGATTTGGAAATCTTAATATATGTCACATCATGCCCAAAATTGACCAACTTAAAATTCTTTTATCAGGATATTGCTCTATGGATGTATTTGGTATCTGTGAAACATTTTTAAATGAACAAAGAGACACCTGTGAGTTAGACATTCAAGGATTTAATTTTGAGAGAAAAAATAGATTTTTGAAGTCAGGGGGAGGATTAATGGTCTATGTCTTCAAAAATTTACATTACAAACGTCGATATGATTTTGAAATAGGTAATATTGAATTCATATGGCTTGAAATTAATATCCCAAATTCAAAACCAATTTTTTTATTGTACCACATATAGGTCCCCATCTGTCACCACCTGCTGGGTAGGAAGTCTAACATGGGAGATAAATTGTGCATCCCGCTGTGACGATGCTGAAATTATTTTAACAGGTGACGTTAACATCTACCTGATTAAAGATCCCCCTCAAGATAGACCTTCGCTTTTGAGGAATATGACTTCACACAGCTAATTAATGTACCTACAAGAATTACAAATACCTCATCAACTCTTTCTGACCATATCTATGCTACCCTACCAGAAAACATATGTGAATCTTCGACACCATCAATTGCGATATCTGACCATTATCAAGTTTGTTTTACGAGAAATCAAATAATAACACTAACAAATTCAAACACATAGAAATAACTTTCAGGGACTTTAAACGATTTAATGAAAATAATTTTCTTGCAGACTTAAAAGAGGTAAATTTCCATTCATTCGAATTATTCTCTGATCTTAGACGCACTTTATAGATTTTATTCACTTTTTAATGCGGTAATAAATAAACATGCAAAAGTAAAAACAAAAAGAGTTAAGCACGACCCAAGACCTAAATGGTTAACTCAAGAAATTCTGCAAGCTCAATATATGCATGATTACCTCCATAAAAATAAAGAATTTCAAAAATTCATGTATGAGCAATTAAGTTACATAACTTAGTGAAAACGCCAAGATTAGTTATGACAAAACATCTATAGAACAAAACAAAAATATAAAACAAATTTGGGATGTATTAAACAATTTATCCTCTAAATCTAGTGATTATGTATGTATACAATTAATTAATCCAGCTGCACTTGCTAAAAAGGTTATATCACGGAGGACACACACGAAATAGTAAACCTTTCAATGTTTTGGCAAATATTTTGCTTACTAGACTCCTTCAGAAATTGTGCTGCCTCCCTATATATGAAGTTGAACAACAAATACGCTAATATTTAAGAAAATAGCGTATAAAACTGTTCATGTATCCTGCAAATTTTTGCTCTTCTTAGGCCTTTGCAGTTTTGTGAAGTACATATTATTCTAAATTTGTTTTGAGGAATTAACTCAAAATGGATTCAAGTTTTATGATCTGTTTGAATTTCAGAAAAAACGTGGATAAGAACAATTTTCGATTTTTTAAACATAATTGTTTAGATTTTCTACACGCTCTCGTTTTCGCTCAATTTTAAAAATATAAGGTGACCTTTGAGTATTGAAATTTTTACAATCAAATATTTCTATATAACAGTGTGAACAATCCATTCCCAAAATGATACCTATCAAATATGCTATGTAACTTTAAGTCAATAAAACATAATCAGTGATAATTTGTTGAATTATCGCTAATATACATTGGTTGTTGTATGTACTTGTTGACAAGGTTCCCATTTTTGATGCCAATTATATAATTTTTGTTAATTGAAATCCACCTGTTCATGCGTGTATGAAACAGATATAAGTTGCTGTAAATTTCATATATTTCAGTTAATAGATTTTTGGGAAATTAGCAAGTTTTACAGCAGCTTTAATGATGCGTTTAATTTTACTCTAGTTTACTGATTCTTGACCATTCATTTTTAATGTATTGTCTCGAGTAGCCCTTGTTTTCCAGCTTCCCACAATGGAATTATGCGATGAAAAGTGGTCACATAAACTATTATCAATTCATTAAAGATTCAACAATAAGAGAAAGCCAAGATTAATGTCATATGATTTTTATGTTGTATGTCGTCGAGCTGATGACATTATTTATTAAACGCCGCTCGTAAACTTGTTGGTACTGTTTTTCTTGATTTCAGTTAAGCTTTTGACCTTGTCAATCATGATAATCTACTTAAAAACTACAATGTTATAACTTTGATGCAATAACTTTACAATGGTCAAGATCATACTTAAGTGAGAGACTTCAAAGTGTCCATCTGTCCAACAAACATTCATCTTATCAGAAAGTCACAGCGGGAGTTCCACAGGGATCTATACTAGGTCCTCTTCTGTTCTTATTTTACATTAATGATCTTCCCTCATGTATTACAAAATCCAAATTAGACCTATTTACAGATGATGCCACTTTACTTGCATCAAGTAAAGAGTATCAAACTACTGTAGATGTTTTATCAACGGATAAAGCTTTTATAGAAAAATGGTGTTCTCAAAATTAAATGGTTCTAAATGCTACAAAAACCAAATGCAAGTTAGTTGGTACGCATCAGAAGAGATCAATTTTTTCTGAGCATGAGATTAATCTATCTGTATCTATCAGAAAACTTGATTTTGTATCAAATAAAAACACTCTTGGGGTTTATTTAGATAATTCTTTACAATACAATATACACATCGACCATGTTTGTAAAACACTGTCACGTAAAATTTCTGCCCTTCGTAGAATCAAAAAGTTTGTACCTATTCAAACACGAAAGCTATTTTACAATGCATATATTATGCCTTCAATTGGTTATTGTTTAACTGTTTGGGTAAAACATCTCACTCAAATCTTGAAAGAGTATATAAGCTTCAGAAACGCGCTGCAAGATGTATTTTAGATGCTCCTTCTGATTTGCCCTCAAAACCTCTCTTTAAGAAACTAGATTGGCTCACAGTGTATGAGCAACTTATTGTAAATAAATATGTTTTGTTATATAAATCATTGTTCAACTCTCAACCTACTCATCAAAATGGTATTATTGACTTCCAGTGTAATAATCGATACAATCTTCGATCTAAATTTTGCTTAGACCTCTGTGTACCATCTCCTAAATTTTAACTCTTTGTGAACTCTTTGTAATATGTTGGTGCTATCTTATGGAATAATTTATCTGAGTGTACATGTATGAATGTCTCAATTATTCAATGCTTTCAAGCATCAAGTCAAAAAAAATTTAAAACAATGTAGAAAAAACTTATAATAATTTATTGATTGTGTATATTTATATATGTATGTATGTTGATTTTTGTCTATAGAAGGCCCCGGGGAAGAATAGTGCTTGTACTAATCGGGTAACCTTCTTTAGATAAAGAATTATTATCATATTTATTTTATCATATTGACGTAATGAAAGCGTGTTTGTGTCGCCAGGATATATTTGAGCCCTTTTAGAAGTTATCATAAAAATTGTTACAAAAACGTATGAAATATAAGCTCTTATTATTTTAAGCATTCAAATTTGACAGTCTCTTAATCGTCGTTCTTTTCGTATCAATAATTTGTCTTTTTCATATAATCTACTTTTCAATTCAAACAGTGTATGAATTGCTTTGACGTTCAGATTTAGCGCTTTCCTATATAATCCTACATTAAAACTATATGTATTTCTCAGACCGTCTTTAATAATATCTAGACGGTGTTTACTAAATTTGGCATGCACACTGGATTCAATGTAAGTTACATTTGTTTTAAAAGTTTCTCTATTGTAATTTCCATACTATGAAACCACAGTCGTCTACCTAAAATATGATGATATGCAAAAAAAATTTGAGCTCGAATACTGTTCATTTTCTGACTATATTTCATTTCAGAGGATCAAATAGATTTCATTTTTAAACTTACAAATAATGATAAATGTATTACGAACTATGTTTAAATAACACGCTCTTTAATATGTCATTTTATTTTATTCTACTAAGACAAAGAACCATGCAACACAGCAAAGATAATTCCCTATGAACCTCTACGACGTACTGTTTATAAAACACTCAGAGACGAAACCCCAATCTGTGATAAATATAATATTCGTAAAGAAGGAGAGTGGTTTAGAACATCAAATGAAATGGTCAACAACAGCACTCAAGCTTCCGATTGTGGAACAATTCATGGAATTTGGATAAAAGGTATTACAGTTAAAAATTGTTCAATACGAACATTGGTTTTGCAAATTCACGGAAAAACTTATCTTGGATCCCTAGTTATGTAAATTTAACGAATTCCTTATTCGCATAAATCGAATCACGGATATAGCGACCTACTTTCAGAGGTCCTGGTGACTTTGTTATAACCGAGTTTTATTGTTGTTTTAATTCACTCTTTAAATGTCAGTATACGTTGTTAAACTTGTTTAATTACTTATGCATTTATAATATTTTAAATTACAAAGATTCGAGGATATTCAAGAGATGATTATGATTGATTGATTGTATGTTGTTTAACGTCCCTCTTGAGAATTTTTCACTCATATGGAGACGTCACCGTATGCCGGTGAAGGGCTTCCAATTTAGACCAATACTCGGCACTCAGGGCCATTGAGCAGTGAGGGTTCTTTATAGTGCAAGCGCCTACCGTGACACGGGACCTACGTTTTTAAGGTCATATCCGAAAGACCCGTGACTTTTACTTCTATTGCCGAGCGCTTGGCCAAGGAACAGTCACTAGCTATGTTAACATCTTAGGTTTGACGAAGCGCCGCGAACGAGAATCGAACCCGGGCCTCCCGACAAGAGATGATTAAATTACATTTTACAAAAAATGTTATTTTGTAAAAATCTTTACTTATTAAATGACTCAGTTAATATTAAAGAATTATTCTTAATCACAAAAGGGTCCAGTCTTCTATACCACAATCTTTCAAGTTAAAGATTACACCTTGTATTTCCTACAAATATAAATCGACCTTATCTTCGAAACATTTCAATTACCACAAAAACTTTACATGGCCTGGATATTGAGTATCTGAAATAAAATCTTCATTCGTCTTCGTGTTCTTTCTTACCCTATATCTATAGTCCTGCTGGACATTTTATTACAGGTTAAGTAAGTATAGTTGATAATGTGGACCTAAGATCGCTTATTTTAAAAGGTCTTAAATATAAAGGAAACCACGATTCTTCCAGCTTACGTCGGAATTTCATAGATATTATGGATTGTGTTAAATAGTACGCCACACGATGGTCCAGATATGACAAAGAAGACGTTGACGTTGACGTTAAAAAATTAGGAACAATATAAAAACCACACATCCTTCTGTATTTAATAGTCCAGAAGTGAGAAAAAAAGAATTAGAAAGATTACATGATTAGTACGTATTGGTCCTTGCTGACATTATATCATGTTTAAATCTCATCTAAAAATGAGAAGAAATATAAAAACCATCCATACTTCTGTATTTAAGGTCAGACGACACGTTCCTCAAATATATGTTTTGTATTTCTTGGTATTATATAAAAAATATTCATATTTGTCATTCTCTTCTGATTTCTACATTGCTTTCATTTTTATTTTAAAAATAAGTACACCAAAAATTGTGATATAGGCCATTTAGAAGATTACCTTATAAGGTTATATAAGAAATAAGACCCTGTGGTATTTTGGCCAAATGCCTGGTAAGGTACCCTAATTTTTATTTTAGGAAACATGTTTAAATACCTATACTTCAATGACAAATTCTTAGGAAAAATTATATATTTTTGAGGAACGTGTCGTCTGACCTTAATAATCCAGAGTAAAAAAAGCATTTAACAACATTGCCTTCCTTTGTAAGTCTCATCATCTACATGTACATTGTATTCTATAGGAACTTGAATTTAGTTGTACAAGTGGTAATCCAACGTTTACTCAAAGATCCATTAATGAATAAAAAATTCTTATTCTTATTAATCATTTGTCAGTTCTTATATTTTTAATATTCCAAGCAACCAAATGATTCTTAATTTCCTTATCTATATGGGATTAAGAAACGTCTTCCTTTACAAAGAAATATACATAGAGGGTTCCGGTAAATGTTCAACCGAGCCTCTTTTCTACTTTTATACACAACCATTCCTCACGACAAATTATAGTCCCGGCTTTTTGATACTATTGACAGCTGCTTTTTCAATAAAAATGGAGCTCGTAAATTGTTTTGCCTTGTCATTAGTCATTTGCAAAATCATCATCTTCACGAACATTCTGAAGTACTCTCAAATTGACAAAAAAAGGTGCTTGAGTTTCTGATTGACAATATCTATGTCGTTTTTGAAGTCCGGGTCTTCCAACAATCTATTGGAATTTCCATGGGCATATGAGTGTTGTTCTTAGCAAGCCAATTTTTGTATTCGTATGAAGCAGAATTTGTGCAAAATCTTAATGCATAAAAATAGAAAATACTTGCTGTGACCTTTAACTCGACATTTTGATATATCGACGACGTATTGTCAATTAACGATTGTAATCTTAATTCTTATGTCGATACAATATATCCTGGTGAGCGTTCGATAATATAGTTCGAGGTTGCGTGCCGTGTGCAAAATGCGCTACCTCCTCTGGCTTAAGATAGAAGATATTAAGGAATCTGATACTTCTGTCTCATATTTGATTGTATTACGTAAAAATAAACCCTTTTTAGCAATATAACAACCAAGATCTGTGATAAACATGATGTCTTTAACTTTTTATGTCCTCAACTTCCCTTACTTATCGGCAATATACATTTTCACCTGCATACTGAGTTTATGCATCTCAGTTGATTCGATATGCAAGAGCATGCTCTGGACAATTTCTAAAACGAGGTAAACTTTTGACAAAAAAAGTTTGTTAAACAATAATATTAGCCTCGTAGTCTCGCTATATGTCATCATTTAGCAAGTTCTATAGTCGATACGATGACCATGTTTGCTAAAACAATTTATCAATAAGTCAAATATTGACTAAAGTTCTACATACCGATTGTAAATCAATTATTTATACACTAAATAATCTATGATTTTTTTCTATGTCAATATATTAGTGAGGAGTAACGAAAGAGGTTTGGTTGAACATTTACTAAAACCTGTAATGTATCTTTGTTTGTAAGGATTCTTTTGAAGTTTCGGAATCCAATATATATAAGGTAGTTCAAATTCATTTTGGCTCTATGGAAGATTAAAAGTATTCAAAACTGTCAGCTGATTATGATGAATCTCTTCCTTAAAAAAGGAAGTATGAGTATAAGTAGGATTACCACTTGTAGAATTAAATGCAAGTTCTTCTAGAATGCAATTTATATAATGAGCCTTACAAACGAAAACAATATTTTTAATTGCTTTGTGGGAAGGAGCCAGTACGTACTGATTGTGTAATCTATCTAATTCTTTATTCACCCCTGGTTTATTGAAGGATAGATGGTTTTCATATTGCCCCTCAATCTTTTTATATGTGATTTTAAAATAGTTCTGATATATTTAATTAATTCTGACAAGCTGTCAACGTCTTCTTTTTCATGTCTGTCTCATCGTCTGACGTAATTTTTAACATAATCCATAATATTTATGAATCAGTTGATGGATCAAGGTTCCATATATTTAGGACCTTTTAAAATAAGTGATCTAAGATCCTCATTACGAACTATATTTACTTCACATGTAATAACGTGTCCAGCGGGACTATAGCTATAGGGCGAAAAAGAACATGAACACGAAGGAGGATTATTTTTCAAATAGTCGGTATCCAGGCCATGAAAAGTGTTTTTGTAATTGAAAAGTTTGTAAACAATGGTCGATGTTTATTTGTAGGAAATGCAGATGTAGTCTTTAAGTTGAAGTATGGTGGAATACAAGACTGAACCCTTTTGTGATTAAGATAATTCTTATATTAGCTGCGTCAATTCCTTTATTGGCATTTTGAAGTTTAAGGAAAAAGACGGATTGTTTTTGCTGCATTTTCTTCCGTGAAACGTGCGGGTTTTGAAAGCCTATGCTATGCAATATCCATCATCACAGATCCGAGTCTATATTCATGTGACGAGGAATCTAAAACTTGATGTTCCTTGGTCTTTTCAATAAGGCTATTTAAAAGTTTCAAAGGGACAGAGTAATATTTTGTTCGAATAAGACCTAACTGTTGATCTACATAAGGTAGTAATGAATCAAATGACACGTCGTCCATTTCAGGTTTATTGTACGAACGATGTCCATGACTACGCTTACGTTTCTAAATATTGTTAAAAAGTCTTATCATATTTACATTGTTACACTGCGGATTGTAAAGATTTCCAAAACTATCAACACTATCGACATTGTCATTAAATTCATACGGACAGGCTGTCCCTAGTTTTCTAATCCAAAATTCTTCTCGTTGTCTATGGAAAGGTTTACTCAGCGGCGGACTATTTGTGTGGTGATAAATCTTTTCGAGAATTCTACTTTTCATTGTTAAAAGAGAATGATCAGGTACATTAAAACATTTGTATAAAAGCTGCTGATCACCATGATTTATTTGAAATCGATGACCTGATATTCTTTTGTTAAGCGATCCCTTGGTTTCACCGACATGAACACGTCCGAACAGATTACATTCTATTCCATAGACAACATTAGAAGATTTGCAGTTCAGATTTGGCGTTACACTGCCATTAATTGATTGTAAAATCGAATAGAATTAAACTTCATACATCAACAAAATAAATATTTTCTCATATTATAATGCAAGTGTAATAGTACTTAGATTGATGCTTGTTGTATCATTGATTAAATTTGATAGAGGAACTTTCCTCAAATATAATCTTTAAAAAGATGCCTGGATAAGGTATGCATTATCAATTGAACGTTCCTCGTGTATCGTTAAATATACGAGGGTTGTTCGAAAAGTTCGTGGACTTTTGACATATCTTATTTTTATATATTTGACGTCATACGTTATCGGTAAAAATACTTACTTAAACAATAAATCCAAAGAATTTGTATTAATTTGGAATCCACGTTTTTTTTCAAAGCTTATTCAGATTTTAAGAATGCAAAAATCGGATCATGGAGCAGGGCCAAAATTTAGTTAGTTACGAAAAATACACTAAACAATATATATATATATATATATATATATATATATATATATATATATATATATATATATATATATATATATATATATATATATAAGTCATATATTCTCAGTAGACTGAAGTAAACACGAAAAACAACCGAGAAATCCAAATATAGAATTGTTACATCGATTCGTATTTCAGATTATGGCTGAATATTTTGCTTTGTTGAAAAGCTTAAGAAGATAGGTAGTCCTCGTTGAAAACGAAAAAATCGATGACGTTTTTGAACGTCGTGGAGCAGCCGATAACGATGCAATTTTGTCTTTTGCACAGGAAAAAATCCTGAATAAAGTCATAAAATGTTGAATGAATCAAATATATGTCACAAGCGAGTTGTGCATGTGTGTACAAATAATATAGTCAAAATTTGAGTGACAGAGAGATTTTGTATCAGTTGAGGACAAACTGGGAAGAAACGTTTATCTGATAAAATATTAACAAAAACTTTTAAAAGTTTGAAGGTCAAGGAAAGACATGGGCGCTTTAGAGTTGATTACCCTATGAAAGTAGATCTAAGTAATATGGGGAATTAAAATCCGAACAAAGGAAGTTATTCAACACAACGAGAGCAATTCTTAACAATGAATCTCAGGTATTAGAAAAAGGATTTAATGACTTGGCATTGGATTCTACTTTTTGAAATGTATAGGAATAGTATTTTTTTTTTTTTTGGAAATTCTTATCACTGTATTATAATGTTACTGTAACGTGTTGAGGGATGGTACCTGATTGATTCCAGGATCTCGGTAAAGAATGATATAAATATCAATGAATAATTTTTCTCTTAAAATAATTGGATAAAACTATTGAACTGCAAATATATACACATATGCCCTTCCCTTGCTTAGGGGAAAATCACACTTGAATGTCGCCTTATATTTACAAAAATTACGGGTTTACCGAATGGCACCGGACCGACACGAATATTGCCTTATTCAGGCTCGTAGTCGCAGTCCAATCTCCTGGTGGTCGGCCTCTGACAACAGAAGATGCTGAATTGTCCTTATTCAGGACGCAGAGTCATCCACTGCTATCAGAGATTTACATTATCCTAAAAGCTTACCAGGTAGGCCTCAAGGGGGTTGACATTCCTCTAAACGGTTAGTCAAACAATCATACAATACAACCTGTTTATTGTGGCAAGCCTTCGTCGTCAGGCAATCCACCCAGTATTGTTAAATAGCTGTGACAAGCCTCAATATTAGGTTATCCACCCAAGTAACCTTATACACTAAAATTCAGTCTTCTTCCCTCTGCTGCTTTGACTCAAAAGAACCCTGCAGCTTAGCTGCGCTTGCTTATACAATGTTGTTTCAGGTCATACGAAGGTCACACAATCACCCTCAGCCAATCACGAATCCTCAAAGGCCGACTTGCATAATTGGAATACACAAAGTCTATACCGTTACATTACATTGTCGTTAAGGGTGCTCCGCCGGTAAAGAACATGTTAATTTTCTGTTGAATGGAATGGAATGAAATTTTACACATCATCAAAACAAATATTTTTACATATTATTTTATACTTGTTTTAAATTTCAAGTGAGTAATATAACAAAGATTGGCATCGTCCACGAACTTTACGAACAACCCTCGTACAAATTAAATATTTCGGAATAAAAGTGGAAAGTTCCTTAAGCGGACCGACTGGGGTTCATTGCGTGAAAACTACAATAGCGAACTCTTCATTTTTATACCATATATAACTAACATTAATTTTAATGTACATGTTTGGGTGAAATCTATCCTCCGGATATTTTAAGGGACATTCTCTAAATATAAATTCATTTACTATAAAATTATATAGGAAAGTGTAAATTTTCTGCACTCTAAAGCATTTTATATATACAAATACTACAATATACATTTTGTTCAAACTATAATACATGATGAGAAATACTTCATTGTACATTATATGTAAGAAACACCGAATTCTACCTTCTTGTAACCAGAGGGGGGCATCTCAAATTGCCAAAAATTTAACAAATGTTCCTGTTTTTATAGAGTACTACAAATTATGACGGGTACAAAGGTAATACAAAAGAAAAAAATTATAAGAATAATCGAGAGATTATAAATTTTCAAAATCGTATGTTTATTACTTTATTTAAATTTTATTTTTATTATCCGTTTATTTAAGAGCCTTAGTTTATCTTGCTATTGGAGATTTACGTACTTATGAAAAAACCTTTAACGTTGACCATAACTTTTGAACGGTAAGAGCTAGGGCTTTCGTACTTCAAATATGATAATAACATCTCACCCACAAAGTCACCAAAAGCAGGGGACCACAATTCTTTGAATTTGCTTATTTTATTTAAACGTTACAGAAGTTGAGTTGAGCCTATCGGGAGTATTATTATGCCATTAAGAAATACTTCGTTTAAAAAAAACTAAAACTGAAACTCGTTTATTTGATTAAACGCCTATTTTTTATAACAGTATTCAATGGCGATGAACAATCAAAATATATACATATGATTCTGATTGCACACATAAATATTCTGACGTTTACATCAAGAAGATGCTTGAGTTTCTTATTGACAATATCTATGTGGTTTTTGGAGACCAGGTATTCCAACAATCAATTGGAATTCCCATGGGTACAAATTTCTCTCCATTATTAGCAGACTTATTTTTAAATTCATATGAAGCAGAATTTATGCAAAAATCTTATGCGTGAAAAGAAAAAAAAAACACTTGCAGTGGCTTCCAACTCCACATTTAGATATATCGACGACGAATAAATAATTAACACTTGCAATTTCCTTTCCTACGTTGGTACCGATATATCCCGGTGAGCTTTAGATAAAAGATACCGCAGAGTCTGACACTTTTGTTTCATACTTGGATATTTTACTTGAAAAAGACGCCTAATGGTAATCTAACAAACAAACTATATGATAAACGTGATGACTTTAACATTTCTATCGTCAACTTCCCTAACTTATGCTTACTTATACCTTCATCACCTGCATACGGAGTATATATATCTCAGTTGATTCGATACGTAAAAGCATGTTCTACGTATGAACAATTTCTAAAATGAAGTAAATTATTGACAAGGAAGTTGATGAAACAAGAATATCAGCAGTCTCGTTTAAAGTCATCATTTCGCAAGTTCTATGGTCGATACAATGACCTTGATTTTTCCGTTATTTCCTGAACATGACAAGGAGCATACGGCGGGTGTGACCGATCAGCAGGGGATGCTCACTCCTCCATGGCAACTGATCCCACCTCTGATGTTTCGGGGGTCCGTGTTTGCTCTGCTCTTATTTTGTATTGTTTTATGGACTTTGATATTGAATACTGTTCGTTATCTTCATATTTTTCATGTACAAATATACATGGACACATTGAAAGGAAACACGAAAATAAAGCAATAACGTTCCTTAAGAAGTAAGTTTTTAGGTTGTTGAACAAATGTTTGATTGTCAAATTAATTTTTGAAAGATACCATTTAGGAGATTTTTAAAGCAAAACAAAGAACGGGGGCGCTTTTGATTGGTATTCGGCAGGAATCTGGACGTAATTGAAAAGTGAAAATTTTATCGACTTGTCACATTAAATTCTAACACTTTTTTATTTATCGAGTTCCTGTGCAACAGGAAAGTGAACTATTTTCCCGAAATTGAGCTTTGATTTGCAAAAAATAACTTGAAATTTTGGCCGATCAGACATTTGGTATAAAACAGGACATTTTATACCTTTTTTTCTATCTCTGGGTCTTCTCTCAATGATTTTTAAACATTATTTGTGTGTATTCTAATTCAAAGAAACAAAAACGCATTTAATAAAATTGAGAGAAGACCGAGAAAGCACGAAAAATGACCTTCCCCCCCCCCCCAAATTTCCAAATGTGTGAATGTGGTGCTTCTTTGCCTGGGTTAGGGTTTTTGTTTCGAGCCTGGCATGGGGCATAATTTTTTTCATGCAAACAACTATTTATTTGTCAGTTTCGATTTATGTACTGATGCATTAAAATTTTGAATTAGATAAATGTTGGTTCAGTTTTGGTTTTCGATCTTCTATTTTGTAATATACTATGACATGTACACGTATCATGCATCCATGCATTAAATATTTTATGTGTTTATTTTTTGAAACATTACTATGCTTTGATACCCCCTTGGAAAAGCGGATATAAATGTTTCAATCTCACTAATTAAGGTATTTCAGACTAAATGAAAAATAAACCTATGGACGTGTTTGTCAAATCTGATCAGTTATGTTCAGCCAACCAATTTATAGAAATTTAAACAATAGTTTCGTACAAATGATTCCTCCAGATCACACGCCAAATGCCCCCATCTTCTTTTTTAAAAAATGCACAGAGTTGAAAATTATCATTCAAAGTTTGTAAATATAAAGTTAGAATTGATTTCTTAAGGCAATCCTCCTGATGTCAACGATGGAATAGTTTACAGAACAGCCTGCGTCCCCAAAAACAACACAGCTTGTTCAAAGACCTATCAAATAAAAGCGAAAAACTGTGGAAACTACAGTGTATTTTTTCTACGCCGCCCAACATCATGTCCTGAAGCTTATTGTTTTGGTATTGTATTAAATACTGTATACAGGGTTATTTTTGTCTCGTGTTATTTCGCCCTCTCACACTTATAAAGAATTTTGCCCCGTTTTGAATTCACCCTGTCATGGTTTTGTTTAAGAAATTGTACTGTATTATTTGAGTTCGCCCTGTTTTAAATTCACCAAAATGAGGATAAGGCGAAAGGGGTAAACTAACACAGACGCGAAAATTTCCCTGTATACAGTATTATCAAATATGATAAAAAAAACTGATTGTATGAAAATGTAAAATTCAGATCATTTTTTGACAAAATAACTCCTTTTTTGGAAATTTTAACATTTACAAATAAGGTAAAAGGTGAAGGTAATTATAATAGATATTTTACATTAAGCATTGTCTTATAACTGCACCAGTGGGGTTAAACAAATTGAGTAATACGCAAAATTAATATTATTGAACTCCTTCTCTTTTTATATAATACATTATAGTCTACACTTAAGACTAATTCAGCATTTGCAAATAGCACAAAAAACCTTTCCATGGTAGGTCTGTTTAGACAAGTTTATTAATCATATTTTTATACAGGAAAAAGTCACTGAGGTATAACACTTGAAAAAAATATATGTAATTTATTTCAGGATATGGAGAACCGGGTAAGTTATATATTAATGTATGTCATTTAGTCTTCTTTTATGATATGATGATATGATGCCGATGAAGATATTATGAAGAATTAAGATATTTAAAAAGAAGGATTAATTAATTTGCATTGTTTTATTCTTATTATAGTTTATTACATGTATATTTCCTGTCAGTTTCTCTCTTTATAATCAAAACCAGAGTACTCTCTCATAGTCCTCAAGGGATTTATATGGGGTAATCATACTATGTAAATAGCACAAGGCTTCATTTCAGAGGAAAATCACATATCAACCACCCCGAGATTGTTAATTTGAATGTTAGCTGCCATGAAGGCGTGAGTAACCACTTCCAAAACACATGAACTAAGGTCCCCATTTTGTAAACTATGATTACGTCACTTAATGATTTTTTTTAAACTAATACCAAGCTCAATGATAAGGTAAAGATCGTTAAAATGATAAAAAGTATCATATTGCACTCATAAACCGGTTTGTCTGGAGAGAAATGTACGTTTATTTTTTATTTTAAAGATCTTGTTTCAGAAAATAGTATTACTGATTATTCGTATGCAGATAAGTTTTTGACTAGATAAGATGACCCGACCAACAACCTGTACTATAGGAATAAGACTCCTTCCTAACGAACCTGCCCAAAGATAACAACTAAATATTTAAAGGGAAATAGTATTGCTGTATTGCCATATCCACCCTGCATTCCTGACCTAGCTCCATGCGATTTTTGGTAGAATGCTCTTATGAAGAAAGCCTTCTGAAGATTGCGCTTGAAAAGTCGTAATGCAGTCGAAAGTATAGTTTCCGGTGTAAAATGGCGTTCGTTTTATAAGTAAATAATGACAAACACCATGCTGTCGATATGGATAAGTGTATTCATCAGTATAATTACAGCTCTAAGATAGATATAACAAATCATAGATATTTTATCACAATACATACATGTCGATCATTTGCTAGATACATGTACCGGGGTCAAATATCAAGGTCAGCTGATCAAGAGAAAAGAAATTAGGGTAGGACGGAAACAGGTATCCTAGATTGACATGATTACCTTCATGCACACTAAAATATATTTTGTTCAAAAATAAATAATATCTACACTTATCTTATATACAGGAAGGACATAGTAATTTACTTCATAGCAATAGTATGTCTGACTGACTTGTCAGTCCAAAATATATATGTTTTGAGCAGCACGACAATAAAAAAAACCTGATGGCAAGCATCTAAACATCACATTGAATAAATAGTCACAAAAATTCAAATGTCAATTATTATCCCGCTGAATGCGACTTTCACTGAAGTCCAGTGTTGAATGGATCACACAACAATCACATGTTTCTGTCTGTACACACTTATCAACACGTCGGTGGATCCTAGATCCTCCTCCGAGTGAGATCTTCAAAGTCAGTCTGCAATGGACAGTCAGCCAATTTTATCCCACTGTGTATATCATTGAAATGGTGTTCGTTTTATAAGTAAATGACAAATACCATGCTGTCGATATGGAAAAGTGTATTCATCAGTATTATCACAGCCCTGAAATATATATAACTAATCATGAATATTTTATTACAATACATACATCTCGATTACTTGCCAGATAGCACGGTCAAATGAATAGTAATTCCCCGTTAATTGTGCTTATTCATTAACATTAAGATTTATTTTTCTTAATCAATAATATGTATAGAGTATAAATAGTCTGGAATTTATAAAACAATAAGATTAACTTATATTAAACTCTTCCAGAATAATATACTTATATGAAAAATATTCAAAATATATATACATCATATCTATATGTGTTATAGATCTAGAGCCATAACGTCTGATATATAAATGGTGTGTGAACTCTTACTCTGTGTTCTAGCTGTATATAAATGAAACTCAGCTTTTCTGTATGCTCTCAAGAATATATAATACACTGATTTGTAAAATCATTCATTTCATTATTTACAAAATCATAAAATAATCAGAAAAACTTAATATTCACACTTTATATTAGGATATAAATATTTGGAATTTAACAGATAAACAATAAATACATAGAGATAATAAAATTAGTTATTTAAAGTCAACCTACATTCAGTACAGTTTTGGTCGTATTCATAAATTATGTAAGTGGACAAAGAACTATACAGAAACCTATATGTCTGCTAGTCAGACTAAGATTTACATGTATAACACTAGTAATTAACTAGTAATAAAAACCCAAAAGAGAGGGAAACTAACCAACCAATAAAATCCAACTTGGCCCTGACACTAACAAGATAAACATAGAAAAGGACAGAAGTTTAAATGACCACTGTGATGTCATACAAATAAAAATAACTCAATGACACAGATTGATGTAAATAATTCAATGTGGATTAATCAATAAATGAAATACTAGAAATAAATGAATATTATAATTCAACTGAATCATTTTAATCCTGAAATATAATAATTCATAAAATAAAATAAATAACCCTATCACATACTTCCCCTCTTCGTGAAATGAGATCCTCGTCATTTGCTACTTCTAAAGAAATAACGACTTTAAAATAAAAATAAAATCATAAAAAAACATAGGAATCATAAAATATCCCTGAAAATTATATACACTTACCGAATTGACTGCTGACATTCTGCTCTTGTCTTCCGGTCCAGCTGTTGTGTTGCTGCCTGTTGATTTACTCTAAAATCTCCGCTGGTAATTCATGATATTGTCTTTTTTGTCCTCTAAGATCTTCTAGGTACTGTCTGCTGTTCATTAGCGGAATTTTCTTCAGAATTGGTATCATCCAAATCATCATCATCAGCTTCTAATTTGTTGCTGTGTATCTGCAGACAGTTCTTTCACCGATTTCCTTGGTGCTGGTTTGGGTTTTTTGCTTTGAGAATAAGCATCTAAATGTCCGATTGGAAGCAAAAGTTTCCTATGTAAAATATTTATACAGGTCAGGGTTCTCCATCGTTTGAGATTTTACTGTGTTGCAGTGTTTACGCAAAACAATAAACTTTTCGCGGTATTTTCGCGATCTGATTCGCGACTGAATCACAATTCATTATTATAACAAAAATACATGCACACTTTTTTAAAAAGTCAATAATTTGCAACAGCATAATAAACAACAATAAAACTTATCAATGCATTTAAAAAACTTGCTAGTTAAATGCCATGTAGCTGGTTTTAGACAAAGCACTGATCGCGCTGAACTTGTAAACATGACGTAATTGTGTTAAAAATGACGTATTTCATGTGCTGTGAGAGGCAGATTGAGCTATTTTTTAACAATGAAAGATGCGTTTTACTATTTAACGGAATATTATTTACAGGTTTTAATTAGTCGATTAATACAAATGCATATCCTTTGTTTTGTGCGATTATTAATTAACTATCAAGAAAATGTATTTTATTAATTATGCCGTGTTTTTATGTACAGGTTACGTACATTTTACACTTATAGAAATACTGTACATATATTAAAGTGACATATAGGTCCAATGGGCCGGGTGTGATGTATAAACGTTTATATTGTATTTACTTGTTGACTATACACATGTCACTAAAATAAAATATTTACTTACTTACTTACTTACTTACATTTAACATCGAGATGCCTCATAAAATCGCACTTTCGCAAGGGCATACACTTAATAGATCTTAACCATTTTTTTTTTATTCTAGATAAAGGATATTTTTCTGAACTTGAAAAGTACTGCTGCTTTCCTGAAATCGAGGGCGTGATTTTATAAGTACACAAAATATTTGGTAAAAGTCAAACATATTTCGACATTGGCTTATTTACCTGAAATTTTAACTATTAAAACGCGAATTCCATTCAAAGCAGCAGCACTTTTTAGAAACTACAAAGTATGCAGAAACAAATAATAACTTGAATTTTTCATTTCAACCAGGGTATGCTCTTGCGGTATTGAAATTGGTTCATGACCTACATTCAGTACACGAATTATGCATTCATCACGTGACTGTCCATCGATGGGACAAACTTCATACAGTACAGAGTGACTTATACTATGCTATTTCCATAAGTATTTGTGTTCTGTGATTATAAAACAGCTTAATTAAAATAAATTCAGTTTTAAAAAGGTCCCCCGTTTTTGCACGTCTATTTTCTGTTGATTTCTCATAGTAGGCTTAACAGTGCTGCGTATATGTCTTTGTTCGTTCATGCTTAAAGTCCGGCGAGGGTCTAGGAGATAATTGATTATGCAAAACGAAGCCCTAATTAAGTGTTCTACCTTTTAGAATTGAAAGATGATATGATATAAATGGTGCCTGTTTTGGAGGGTAACAGTTGAACTTGACACCCCAAGGAAAACCATTGTCAACCGACGCGTCAGAAGAGGTAGACAATGGTTTTCGAGGGGTGTCAATTTCAACTGTTACTCTGCAAAACAGGCACCATTTTTTTATTATACTGAATGTCTTCTTGATTTACTACGTCAGCAATACAAATCGTCGATCACCTTTTCGTTCACGTTAAGAAAGCTTTCAAACTCCCCGGTACTTCCAAAAAAAGATTTACTGACCTCTTTATTGTTTATTTAATACTCTACGAGTCCTTTATCATCTAAAGTTTTGTTATTTCTGCACTCGCAAGCATGTTTCGTCTGTCGTTTGTTGTTTTTAAGTAAGCTACATCGGACACAAGCTTTTATTGACGTCAAGTTTATTCCGGTTCTTTCAAACGCGCAACTGACGTTTTGAAAATTCTACGGTGAACCGTAGGCGCATAATTTCCACGCATGTGGCATTACCGGTGTGTTACCCGTTGTCACGTGTGTTGCTTAGGCTTAGGCTAAGGGTAATAGAACAAATTGTTAACTGCGGCTAAACCAATCAGATTTTAGTATTTAACATGAAAGTATAATAAAATTGTTTGGTTTAAATTTCAATTAGAAAGAATCTTTACATTTGGATTTTCTGATTATCACAGATCTTACTGTGTCGGCAAAATTATTACTGTGTCGCACAAATGGAATTTGAAAACTTACAGTTTAGGAGAAAGTTTTACTGTCGGTGTCAGAACCTATACAGTAGAACATTCTTGTTTGGTTGACTTTATGCTATGTATGGCTCTTACTCCCATTTATCTGATAATTTGTGAGTGCCTTCAAATGCAACAATCTTGACCAATGCTCTGTTTTACTGGCTGAATGCACAACATTTCTCGACTTTATGTTAAAATTCTTCTTCTCTCTTCACTGGGCATTCAGGATGGATTTCTGTGCTAAATGGTAAATGGTTTTATCTAAATTTCAAAGTTTTGATGTAGAAATTCATGTTTTATGGTTGATTTGGTCCGTCTGTTCAATTATGAGATCTATTGAAAGTCTAGGTTCTCGTCGAAACATATGAAATAAAGGTTATTGGCCTGTTATTTCCTGTTTCAGCGATTACCAGCAGGAACTTAAGTTGAAAATGTGAGATTTCCAATCCTGTTTTTGGTAATTTTCAGGTATTCCTAACATATTACTGCCACGTGACACAGAATTAGCCGGGCGTTTTTCCCGTGCTGTTTTTGTTTTTTTCTTTTTGACATATAATTCTTTATTGGAGTACTTTTATTGTACAAAAAAGTTTCCTATTGAATCCAATGGCGTTAACTGAAACAACTTAAACAATAACAACTTTT